AAGGAAGAAAGAGAAAGAAAGAAAGAAAGAAAGAAAGAAAGAAAGAAAGAAAGAAAGAAGAAAAGATACATGTTGCCATTCTGAATTATTACAATTTCAGCCAAAAGTTAGTTGCTTCGCACTGCCCTGTTTGTAGACAAGCGTATGACTTCCTTTGGGCTTTGAGCAGAATTGAGGCAGCTCCCTACAGTCCCTCTCTTCCTGTCTCTTGGGTCTGGCATAGGAGGGGTAACCAGCTGCACTTCGAGAGAGGGGAAAGACTCTTTCTGGGAGGTGCCCTAACTACGTGGCTGGGGCTTCACTGATGTCTCCAATCCCCTGTGCTATAGCTAAGAAAATTCAGCTCAGTGAACATTTGTTGGAATGCCAAGAAAAAGAAGGAGTCATTGCTTGGCTTGTCTCCAGAACAAGACTGCAATATTTGTGGCAAGCTTTGAAAGCCAATGTTTTGTCAGAACAAATAATTTCTAAATTCCTCTATCTCCCATTAGCATGCTCTGTTTCCGTAGATTATAATAAACTTTCGTTCTCCATCAGGACAGAGAGAACACGGCAATAGCATAAGGGATGTTTCCACCCTTAGAGAAATGAAAGTGGTGGGTAAGGCCCACATCTTGCACCTGGTGGGCTAGGGTGAGAAGTGGCCGGCGTGGGGAAGCCAGTGGTCAGGAGGGAATCTGGTGTTTCCCTTCTCAGGCTAAAGTCCTGGGAGTGAGTGTTTAGACAAATTGAAGGAAAAGCTGAGAGTGCAGGGAATTTGGGTTTGAGAGGAACCAGAGTGAAAGTGTCAATGAAGCAGAAAAAAGCCTGCGCCAACCCCTTTGGACCTTTCTTGGGCTCCTGGTTATAGTGCAGAAAGTTCCGAAGTTCCTTGGTCCCCCACAGAAGGACATGGAATGTACTGGGTGTGGGTGAACTGGTGCTGAAGCACAGGAGTGGCTGCATTGAGTGCTCAGGCTTCAGAGGGATTCACACAAGCACCTGGATGGGCCTCGGTTATGTAGAGAGTCCCCAGGCTCCGTTTCTGCCAAGAGACCTAACTAGAAGTTCACCAGCCACACACCTTACAATACTGTCTATCAGCACGGAAGACCCAGGGACCAGACCAGGCTGGATGTGGGAAACTGAGACCAACCCGGACCTTAAGTGCAGAGCAAGGATCTCAAGTCTTCAGCCCCATCAGCCATTTGGGCATACGAGGTCCCTTGGGCACCTGTCATGACTGGAAACCTGAGTGTGGGACCTGAGCAATGCCCCCCTCCCCCAGGCCCTGGAATCAGAAATGCGTATGCTTAATTTTAATGCTCTGCTGTCCTCATCTGAAAATTGACAGTATCTTTAACCCCACATTGTCATTTTGCACTGGGATCCATAAATTATGCAGCAGGCCCTGAGCGTACCTGACTTGAAATGTTATTCAATGGTACGCCACTAAGCATCTTCCCCCAGTTCTGTGTTCAGCGCCCTCTGACCGGCAGCTCGAAACAGCTCACCGTGGAGGTTCGCGCGGGCTGGAGATCCCGGGAAGACGCGCTGTAAGACACGGACCAGCACAACCTTGGGCAGGCCCCACTGCACAAGCGCAATGGTGTGACGCCAGCGCCGCCCCCGCCCCGTTGGGGTTTTGACAGAATTCCAGAGTGAGAAAGGTCTTTTGCATAGCAGTTTATATTTATTTGTGATGAAGAAGGAAAAGCAATTACCTCAGCCCTGGCATTATTTCGAAATCTAAATCCAGATCTTCCGTGACTGCAAACGGCAAAAGACGACGCTCCAGGAGGTATAAAAAGCCTGTCGGCATGAAAGCGTGCATCAGAGGCGAACACGTTGGAAATCCCGGAACGCGCGCCGGCCTCCCCTTCCCAGCCTAAGTTGCCGCCCCCAGCGCTCTGCCTCTGAGCTCTCCAGCTCTGCCTCTGAGCTCTCCAGCTCAGACTGGCGGTGGGCAGGTGACCCTCCGCCAGCTCGGGACTCGAGCCAGCGCATCCGACTCGAGCCAGCGCATCCTCCTCCGCCAGCTATGGAGTCCTCCTGGCTGGAGACGCGTTGGGCGCGGTCCTTTTACCTGGCCTTCGTGTTCTGCCTGGCCCTGGCGCTGCTGCAGCTCATCAAGTTGTACCTACGGAGGCAGCGGCTACTGCGGGACCTACGCCACTTTCCGGCGCCCCCTGCCCACTGGTTCTATGGGCACCAGAAGGTAGACCGAAGGGAGGGACGGAGGAGGACTCTGCAGCGGGAAGCGGCGGGCACAGGGGCGGTGGCTTCCTTCCCTCGCTCCGACCTTAGGCTCTGCACGGCCCAGCCCGTTGCTCTCGCATCTTTGCACTAAATTGCCCTAGAGACTTGCTACCTGGCAAGGTCACTGGAGAGAAAGGTTTGGGGGCAGGGTGGGAGCTATTTAAAGAGCTGAATATTGAAAAAGAAAGCGAAGAAAACTCAGGTCTGTACTAAATTGCTTCACCATAAATTGTATTTATGTACTGCATTGGAAAAAGCCATCCACATGTATTGCCTGGGAAATTGTATGCTCTAAGTAATACTGATTGCAGAAAATGTGCAAAGTCAGACACAAAAGTTGGCACCCTGAGTTCATTCTAACCAGAAAAAATTAACTTACTTCCTAAGATTCTTGTGAGGCAGGGAACAACCCCAGCCAACCTCCCAAGAAATGCTGATTGGTTGAAATGTGTAGAGGGAGACCATTAGCTTTTGTTCTCTCCTGTTCTCGACATCCACCCTCACCCCTGATTCATTTTTTAATTCACTCAAGCAACTTGGGGTGGCAGATGTGTGATGGGTACTAGGGTGGCAAAGAGAAGATGGGTGGGTGCCTCCCCAGAAGAGGCCCAAGTCTTAGGCCACAGAGAGAAAATACAAAACAGGGTGATGCGTGCTTTGATCCAGGCCTAGATGAGCTTAGGGAGGAAAGAAAGACTGGGAGTGGCTGAGCGGACACGTCAAGGAGGAGTGGTGTGGAGAGGGTATTCCTAGCACCAGTTTTTCTCTTCCCCACTTCCTAGTCCTTTCTCCTGAAAGCAGCTGCTTTCAATCATTGCATTTAGCATTGCATTTGTTTCCCCTGTTATTTAAATCTTTCCTTGTACGATAATATTACTATATTGCAGTTATTTATATGTTTTAGATGTCCATCTATACACTGACACCTCATCTTCCACTGTTCCACTGTTATAATTATATAGTTATAATTTTTCTTCAATAGAAAAAAATTGTGTTTACATTATTTTGACTGTGTAAATGTTGTTTACTGCTGATCTAACTGGCCCCCTTTGATTTTGTTTCTTTTCTCATACACGGTTTCCACCATTCACATGGTGGTGTTAACATTCTCCTTTTCTCATTCGCTTAGCTTTTCAACATCTGTTACTATCTTTTCCCCAAATGCTGTAATAGATCTATGTATTATTGTAATACATCTCAATAATATTTATAAATATTCAAAGATACCAAATGCCCTGTCATTCATATGCTTTTCTGAAGCCAAGATTCTTCCACAGACCTCTCCTCCTGTTCCAATCTGGATTGCTTGCTGTTTAGGTTTCTGAATCTCAGATGTAGAAGGTAGAATCACTAGCAAAATCCACCGCAAAGACTGAGAAAATTACCCCCCAAAAATGAGAATAATATATGGGAAATACTAGATACCATCAAATGTCCAAACATCCATATAATTGGTATCCCTGAAAGCGAAGAGACTCACAAAGGCATTGATAATCTACTTCACGAAATCCTGGAAGAAAACTTTCCAAACCTAGAGAGGCACTCAAAGATCCAGTCCCAAGAAATACAAAGGACCCCAAATAGAATCAGCCCAAGAAGATCTTCTCAAAGATCATTATAGTCAGATTGACCAAAACCACAGACAAAGATAAGATACTAAGATTGGCAAGAGAGAAACGTCAAGTCACCTCCCAAGGATATCCCATCAGGCTACAGTGGACCTCTCATTGGAAACAATACGAACAAGGAAAGAATGGGAAAATATAATCAAAGTGTTAAGGGAAAACCAATTTCAACCAAGAATACTGAACCCGGCAAGATTATCCTCCACCTGAGAAGAAAAGACAAGAACATTCTCAGATAAACAAAACCTGAAAGAATTTACCAACACCAGACCAGCTCACCAAGTTCTGAAGGGAGAGCTATACCAGGAAAATTAAATGCAGACACACAGAAATGAGAGTTCCAAAGCTAAGAAAATGGTCAAATTAATTGTAGGGACAAGTCTGAAGTTGAATATTATATCCCAGAATTTAATTGGAAAGATTGGACCACAACAGAAGATATATTAAGTACATGAGACTGAATGGTGAAATAGAATCTTATGATTTTTGACTAAAACATTGCTGATTTTTGTCTAGGTCTTGTTTTTTGGTTTTAAGGATTTTTGTCTTGTCTTGAGCTGCCGATAGGTTCACTTACCTACTATTTGAACAAAATTCTAACCTGTTTTCTGGCTTTAAGTTTTAAGCAAAGCTCTCTTAGCATTTCTTTTATTTTGATTTATTAAAGCTAAAACTGCTTTTCTTGAAATGAAAAAATATATTTAAAAATACCTATTAATGACCATAGTAAGCTATATAGCATGAGCTAGGTGCTACTTTATAGTATATTCATTGTACTCAGAGTTTCACACCGAAAGTCAGACATGTATTCACAGATACGTACATACCAGCTGAACTTGCTATTGAAAGTAGTTATATT